AGAATAAAAAAAAAGGTTTAGTAAAGAATTGAAAAAACTCACCCCTAAATTCTATTTTTTAGGGGTTGGGGAGTGTCAGATCAACAAAGTAACCCCCGGAATCGATTCGGCGACTCAAAAAACCCTTGTATACCAAATCTTGTGGGATTCACTTAATTTTTCGATGGTGCCAGTTCGGGCATGAATAGTAAAAAAAGCCGTGCCAGTTAACCGGTTAAGTACGATCAAAACCATTCAAGAGCCCTATTTCTGATTCCATATTGATACATTTTCACTAGCAACCTTTCCCTATCTATTGTTTCAAAGGCTCGCTTCAGATCCATAAATACGACCCCAATCATTTTATTTTCACTGATTGTAATCTTCCAGTCATCTATCACTGTTTGAATTGCTGTTTCACATGAATATCCTTTTCTAAATCCCGATTGGTGTTTCGTTATAATATTGTTACTCTCCAAATATTTGTCCAATTGTTTTTTAACTACTAATTCCAACACTTTTTCAAATGTTGGGAGCATATTGATGGGTCTGAATTGACTCGCCTTTTTCGGCTGATCTATTTTAGGGATAGGTTTTATCGTGGATGTTTTCCAGTCCTTAGGGCATATTCCCTCATTCAGGGAGCTGTTGATTATATCCACAAATTCACTGTTTATCACTTGTCATGCGGTCTTCATGATGTCGGTACTTATACCCTCATCCGTGCCTTTCTTTTTTGGTAGCTGCCGAATGATTTTTTCAACCTCCAGTATGGATACTGCGTTAAACTGGTGTAGGATTATCTCCGTTTCATTGTCCTTGATAATAATTTCTTTTGGGCTGTCTGGTATTTCTGTTATAGATTTTACTATATTGTCAATACTCTGCACATAGAATTGGTTAAATTTATCAGCTATATTCCTTTCTTCGGTGTTGCTGAGGCATTCAAAATTTATATCTTCTGTTTCTTTCATGCTGTTTGCCTCTCCTCTTATTATCTCTTTCAGAGTCTTCCACATTGCTGTAGGATTTCCTTTATTGCGATCAATTGTTTCTTCATAGTATTTTTTCTTCGTTTTTCTGATCATGCTCACTACCCTGTTTCTTTTTTCCTTGTAATGTAACCAGTTCAATTCCGTATTATCTCGTATTGCTTTTTTGTATGCTTCATCTCTTCTAGTTGCAGCTTTCCTTATTTCGGTATTAAACCATTTCTTTCCTTCCCATATTTTCGGGATTTTAACTTGTCTTTTTGGAGCTACTACATCTAATGTTTGTACCATGCTGTCAACTAGTTTTTTTGCTCTGTCGTTTACGTTCATATTATTATTTTGTTGCAATTCATTTTGTAGTATTTCAATAAACTGGTCGACATCAAAATCGTTATAGTTTCTGGCTATGTATTTTCTGTCCTTGGTAGTTCTTCTGCCTTTATGTTCAATTTTTAAGCATGCATGATCTGTTATCATAGGCTCATGCAGCACACTTACCTCTACTTCCTTATTAGCGAAAATTAGGTCTATGATTGATCTACTATCTCGTGCAATCCTTGTCGGTTTCTTGACATATTGCTTCATTCCCATACTATTCATTGTTGTTTTAGCCTATTTTTATAATAGGAATTTATCGTGAAGTCTATATTAAAGTCACCGATTACTATACATTCGCTTTTTGTTATTAGATCCTCAACAACGTCTATTAGAAAAGTTATGAAGTCCGCATCTGATGCACTCGGTGAGTGGTACACTACCATAACTGTACTTTTACACCACTTTTCCTTCACTTTAATCGCGATGGCCCAGCAGTTTGGTTCTAATTTCCGCGTCAGTATAATCTTGTACTTAACGTTATTTCTCACGTATATCACAACACCACCCGTGAACCTGCTATTACTATTGCACCTCACCAAGTTATAACCCGGTACACTTATTTCAGCGTCGTCTATTTCCTGAGTTAGTCTGGTCTTCGTCAAGGCCACAATCGCAGGATTTCTCTTCACCATGATGAGATGGTGTATTTCTTCCTTATGGGCCAGCAAACTTTGTGCGTTAGCATATATCGTGCACTCCGATCTTCCCTGCATACCTGCTACCATCTTCAGTGGTTGCTATTCGTCCTTGCTCGTGTCCGTTCTCCTTCTTTTTTCCCGTAATGCCCTTTGATATGTTGGGCATTCTGAACTAAGTGCATTATGCTCCGCATTTATCTTGATATTATACTTTTGCATTTTTTCTATACAGTTAACACACTTTTTGGTTCTCTCTACACACTCATTTGATGTATGGTTACCCGCACATCCATGACACGTCACCGTCTTCGTGCAGTTTTTCGCAATGTGGTAGAAGCCCCAACATTTGAAGCATCTTTTTACGCTGAAGTGCTCATAAACTGGGCATTTCCTCCATCCTATGTTCAATCTTTTTTCTTTCATTATTGCATCTTGCGTGTTAATATCTACTTCCACTATTATGCTTCCCTCGTCCTTTGGTGTTCTGGTTGCTCCTCTTTCGCTCATCTTTCTTATCCTTTTCAATATTCTCATGTGGAAACCCTCATTGCCAGTATCCAGTCCGTTTTGTTTTCTTATAGATTCCATTAGTTCATTACCTTCCATCTCGAATTCATCTTTTCCTATATTCGCAATCTTCATCTTCGGTTTACTGGATATTGGTTGCGTAACATTATAGCTGTCTCCCAGGTTTTTAGTGACAGTCTCTTTCAGCGTCTGGATATCTCTATCCTTATCACATCCTAGGATAATCGTGCCGTTTTTACCCTTTCTAATATTTGAAATTCCCATATTCATATTCCTGATGTTAACTTTCTCTTTGATGGCTTTTTCAGTCTCCTCACTCTTTTGCTGAGTCTTCGGTTTATATACTATTATACTCTCTTGTTTGTTTTCTTTCGCCACTTGGCTGTAGCTTCTCTTATCTTTATCATTTGTATTTGTATTTGCATCCGCTCTTAATATCTTCTTAATTTCCTTGTATTCATTCTCTCCTTTCCCTCGTAGTTCCTGTATCTCTTTATTCAATTTTTCATTTTCTTGTTTACAATTTTTAACCTCCTTGCATAATTCCTCCATTCTCTCAACCATATATTTTTGGTGCTCCTTCTGGTTCTCTTTCATCCTTGTCACCAAATTTATCAAAAGTTCTATCCTTTCGTCTTTCTTCTCCTCTGTCTCTTCCACCTCTCTCTCCATCGATTCTTGTACCTTTCCATTCATTTCTGTTACTTCCTTTCTTTTGGATTTCACCGGTTTCTTATCCAGTTTTATTCTATCTCCTTTTTTATTTACGTCTGTTAGTACTAACATTTCATAGGGGCCTTCACAAGGAATAAATTCTCTTCTTTTGTTATAACTATAATGCTTGACAACACAGCCCGGATGTAATGATTTCTTACATTCTACACATCGCCTAACCACAGTTTTTTTATTTCTTTTTTGCATACATCACATCTATATTCAGCGTTGCCTATGCTCGACCGACAAACCGAAGTCATTTAGTTAGCAACGCTATTGGCCCGTTCAGTTCGACCCGTCACGTCCCACCAATTGTCAGCCGAGCTCGTCATAAACCAGTCGTCGATTGATACTCAATACGCTTATTTCACTATGCAGGATCGATCCCTCGATCGACTAATCGCGCGCGTATCTACCCTCTCGATATTCTTACACCACACCTCTCAGGTTATGTCAGCGTAGTGCCAGAAAAATGTCTATACTGTCCATAACTCTTTATAACTTGTTTGGATAACACACACACCTGTACCGCTTACACACCCGCACACCCACAACAAACCACTATCCATCTCACCCAAATCCAACCTCTCCGCGACGCCCACCTTTGCAGAGCTTAGTTGAACACATCCACACAGAAAAAAGAGAGAGGAGAGAGAGAGAGAGAGAGAGAGAGAGAGAGAGACCCCTCCGAGGGTGTGCCACCTTGTCGTGGTGGAGGGGCTTGAGCGCCGTGCTGATCCGTGGAGCTATGCCGGCAGGAACTTCGGTTCCTAGCAGGGTCACCCTTGCCGGACAGGTCCACGGGGAGCGGCCAGACCAAGAGCGCACCCGGGCAGGCCGGGCTCGTTAGACCTGTGTGGGCAGCCGGCCTCTAGGAGAAGGAAAACTCCGAAATTAAACCACTCTTCTTAACACTATGGAAATGAGTTCAGAAGAAGAGATGGACGTACCGGCCCAGAGTGATCGGACACTCAGGGCCCGACGTGGGGGTGTTGCCATCCCAGGCACCCCCATGTCGTTATCTCGAGATGGGCTACCCTCCGCTTGCACCGCAGGGGTGGGGGGAGAATCTGCGACTGCGAAGAAACGTCCCGACGTACTCGCGCTTGGTGCGCGACGTATGTTCGGGGCGTCGGTCTCCTTCACGAAGGGTAGCGCCGTTGGCGCCCCTCCTGGGGGAGAGAGAACGAAGAAGCCGGCGAGGGAGCGTTCTCGCTCCCCACCATACGCCGGCTTGTCCGGGTCCCCACTTTCATCTGGGGGCTCGGACATATTAATGGAGGTGCAGGGGGACGCCTCCACGCCGGCCCCCGATACGAGTGGGGGCGTAGGAAGACCGCCGACCGCTGCCGAGTTTCTCGGCATAGTCGCGGCCAAGAAGCGTGCCTCGGACGCGAGGCGTGCGGAGGCGGTAATGGAGCTGGAGGACGAGAGCTGGCCCGACACCACACAGCTACCGTCCTCCAGGCTCTCGTGCCCGGTTGCCTCCGCGGCTGAAATGGTGCAGAAGACGCACGCAGCCGCGGAGGCCGTGATGAAGGTGGCCACCACTTCAAAGAATCTTGCCGGCCGGTACGTCAAGATTCTGAAGGAGGTGGCGGCCACTATAAAGGGACTGGGCGAGGGCATTGTTGCCCTCGCCTATGTGCCGATAGAGGCGGCGGAGTCGGGGCTGTCCGGGCCTGGCGCGCTCGCAGATGAGGAGGATTTTGTCCTCCCGATATAAAAAAATGCGCGAAATGCTCGACGAGGCCTACAAAAAGGGATTTTCCCTCGTGGGCCCGTCGAGAAAGGAGACGGCGCACTGCGGGACGCATGTCGGTGAACCTGCGTTCGCCCCGCATGCGACGACGGCGACGACCCCGCCGCCGAAGACGGACTCTCGGGGGGTCCAAACAGAGGGTGGGGCTTCTGAGCCCCTAAAGGA